GTGTTACTGAGAAAGTGGAGAGAGCGTAAGTGTGTGTGTGTGTGTGTGTGTGTTAGTTGACATGTTGTGTTTCCTCCCTTCGCCTCCCTCTTTCCTTGTCTGTTCTGTCCACTCATGTGTCTTTTCTTCTTCTTCTCTCCTGTTCGATTGATTTGGACAAAGGGCGTGTCTCCGTCTCCGTCCAACCGACCAACCAAGCTAGCAGCCGAGCGAGCACGGCGTGGCAAGGGGCCGTTTGTTTTCACCGTTTCCACCATCAGCAACAGCAGTACCTGATGTGGCTGCATTGTGGATGAACTGGCCCTCTGGCTCTGGTCCATCTCCTCCTCGTCGTCGTTTTTGGTCACCAACAGCAGCAGCTGCGGCCATGGATGTGGAGGTAAGATGAATGGTGGTGGTTGTGGTGATGTGGGTGGTGTGTGATGTGTTGGGTGTGAACATTAGCATGTATGTGTGTGATTGTGAAGGGTTCGTTAGATGTCGTTGGGTCTGTTGGTGCTGGCAATGGATGTTGTTGTCGTTGACAATCTGATTCTGTAACAACTCACCTCTTTCTTCACACGCACACAGGGTGTGATGTGCGTCGATGCGCCGTTGCCTCGCATGACGACGATGATTGTGGTGAGTGGTTTGTGGTGCATGTCGACAGCGCATGCCCTTGCATGTGCAGATGTGATGCTTGTGGTGGTGGTGGTTGTGGTCGTCGTGGTGTGTATCTGTGTTTGGAATGTGCGTGCACAGGTGGTGATGTGGGTGATGCGAATGTGGCACAAGGAGGTGGATGTGGTTTGTTTCTGCCATGCTGGCTCACTGCGTGGTGTCATTCTTGCTGATTTTGTTGTTTGTGCTTGCGCATGTGCACATGTGTGTGTTTTGCACAGGACGGTGGCCGTTCTCTTCCCAGGCCCTCATGACATGAGCAGGGCGATACACGCACACACAAATGTGCGAGAAAAAACGGCACCAGGTGAGACGCTGCCGCTGTGTGTGTGTGTGTGTGTGTGTGTGTGTGTGTGTGTGTGTGTGTGTGTGTGTGTGTGTGTGTGTGTGTGTGTGGTGATGGGGTGGTAGTACACATACGCACGCACGCGTGTACACACGCATGCCAACACACCAGAGCAGACATTGGCTGTGGGGTGGTTGCACTGACGTGTGTCGCACATGAATCAATCACACAACTCAAATGTGTGTGTGTGCGTGTGTGCGTGGCTGCAGGCGGACGTGTGCGGGTTTCCCCAACCGATTTCCCTTCCTCCTTTCCCAACCAATCGCCTTTGCTCTGTGTCATCATCATCATCATCATCAGCCTTCCCCCCATGCGATGTGAAGCTGTTGAGGCGTGCTCAAGACAACGGCCAACAGCAGGTATTGCAGCAGTTGTGGATGCAGTGGATGTGGTGATGTGGTGCGCTTGCTTGCTTGGCTGCTTGCTTGTTGGGTGCTTGCTTCGTTGTTCTTGTGTGTAGGTGATGCACCCCACCCACAACATGCTGCATAGTCCCATGCGTGGTCCCTTTGTGTCCCTCCTTTCCTGTCCTCACCATCACCGGTCATTTTTGTTCGTCCCTGGTTGGTTTCTCCTTGCCTCACAGGCATACACGCAGGCAGGCATGCAAGCTTGTGCTGCTGCTGGTGCTGCTGTGATGATGGCCGTGCGTGTGCCTGTGCGCTGTGCACCGTGTTTGGGATGCACCGATGAAGACAAGGAAGGACACGACTCGTGCCCACCACTCTTCTCCCTTCATCTCCTCTTTCTGCTCCATCAGCGATGACGATGGTGGCCGTGACATGTGATTGCGGTTCCCTTTTTCTGGCTTTGCTGTGGCACATCGGCTGGCTGGCTGGCTGCATCAAGCACATGTGAGGATGATCGTTGGCGGTTGGTTGGTTGGTTGGTGGGCTGAGTTGTGTGGAGTGGGACAAGCAGGGGGAGGAGGGAAGTGACACGGTGATGGTGGTGATGATGGTGGTGGTGGTGCGACGTGGGAGTGCAGAGCCAAAGGAGGGAGGGGAAACGAAGTGATAGGAGGGCGATGATGATGTTGGTTGGGGGGAATGGGGGTGCGCGTGTGTACATGCACGTGAATCGTGTGGTGATGGTATCACATGACAATGACACACATATCAGTGGCTCATTCCTTTTCCTTGCACCTGTGTGATTGTGATGATGACTGCAGCAGGCAACATACGGCGGTGGATGCTGGATTGGATTGGCTGGGGTTGACTGGCCATCGTGTCGTGTCGCCCATTCCTCTCTCCGTTGCTCATCTCAACTGGGAACACACACAGCCATGTGTGCGTGTGTGCGTGTGCGTGTGTGCATCGCCATCAACCACGCCGACAGCGACACGATGCACGAGGTGAGGGCACGCAATGCCGTGTGTGTTTGGTGGAAGAGGTTGAGGGGAAGTGGGGAAGCCATTCATCATGGCCACCATCACCACCATGGCTGTGTACCTGGTCATGTGACCGTGCATTTGGGGGATGGAGATGAGGGGAGATATGATGTCGTTGTGGTGGTTGTGGTGGTTGTGGTTGCATTGTTGTGCATGCGTGTGCATGGTGCATCGTCTCACTCTGCAATGCCATGTGTGACTGTGTGTGACTGTGTGTGTGTGTGTGTGTGACTGCAGATGTGCGTGTGCGCATATGTCGGGCAGATGCGTTGATCGACGACGAGGTGTGTGTGATTGCGTGTGTGGTTGACCTTTGTGTCCTTGTGCCATCACACACAACGCACAACACCAAGCACATCATCATCACCCACCCCCATGTGTTTTTGCTGTCCATTCACGCATGGCATGCTCACATCCACCCCTTCCCCTTGCTTCTTCTCCTTCTTCCTCCTCCCCTGCTGCTACCACCCCTTTCACTGTTTCCCTCCATCGCTTTTCACACACAGAGTGAGGAACCCATCCACGTCCAACACCCATATCCACGCATGGACACGCCATGGCAAGCTGTGCCACCTCAAACCAACCCAACTCAACCCAGGCCAAGGAAAGGAAGAGGAAAGGAAGAGGAAAGGAAGGAGGGACAGAGGACGTGGGGCTCCCAACAGATGTGTGTGCGTGTGCGTGTGTGTTGATGGACGGTGTTCTCCTTTCCCCTCTCCATCGCCTCGCCTCTTGCTTCCATGGCGATCTGGCTGGGTGGCTGTTGCTCCCCTCCCCTTGTTTGTTTTCTCTTCCAGCCCTTGTGTGGCTGTTGGTTGTCTGTTGTGACTGTGAGGAGGAGAAGGAGGATGAGAGGAGAGAGGGCGCATGCTGTCCACATCTGTGTGTGTGTGTGTGTGTGTGTTTGTTTCTTCTTCTTTTCCATCCCCCTTTCTTCTCCCCTTCTCTTCTTCCCTCCTCAGCCTGCAAGGCCTGTGAGCCTGCGTTGCATTCACACACACAGTGCTGTTCCCCCTTCTTCTCCTTCTCCTTCTTCTTGTCTCATTGAAACCAACCAACCAAGCAACCAAGCAAAGCAAGCAAGTCCGCCCTTCAACAAACAACCGCAGAAGTTGCCGCAGCAGTGGGCGATTGTTTGTGGCATCTTCCACAAATCGCCCAAACACGAAACAACAAGACCAACACAAACGCAACAAGCAGCAGGCGAAACGCGAATCAAGGTGCGTGTGTGTTTGAGCGGGAGGTGGCTTGCGTTGTTCGTGTGCGTGGCTGGCGCAGGGTCGGCGGAGAGGAGGGAGAGGGTGCGCGTTGTGACGGGCACTCACTGGCGGTTCTGTTGTGGGTGGTCTCGTTTGGTTCCATGGACTGTGTGGGGATGTGGTGGGTGATGGTGTGATGGTGAACAGGTGCAAGCAGAGAACACGCACAGCAGCAACCACACCATGGATGTGTGCAGGGCCAAAGGCATGCAAGGCGTTGCCCACAGTCGGTGAGGCTGACATATGTGCTGCACAGGCCCATGGCACGCTGGCACCGTGAGTTTGGGCGAGTTGTGTCAATTGGTTTGACTGCTGTGTGGGTGCGTGTGTGTTTGTGCTTGTGTGAAGGAGGGAGAGGTGGGACGTGGCTGTGGTGGGTGTTGTGATCTCACACGCACTCCTGCTGCAGTGGATGTATTTGGCTCACACACGCACACAGAGAGGGATGACGGGCCGCATCGACCCACACACACGCGTGTGTGAACACACACGCACACACACGCACGCTGACTGGCAGTCTGATGCCACCTCACGGTGCGTTGCACTTGCACGTGCGTGTGACTGTGACTGTGTGCATGTCGTTCATGCTGTGTCTGCTTGTAATTCACACAGTGTGTGTGGTGGCTGCTTGCTTCCCTCTGTCTCACACCTGTGTGTATGGATGTTGACACACAGACACACGCAGGCACACAGTGAGTGGGTGTGCAGGCACACATCCTCACACAGGCAGCCAAGCAGGCAGGGCATACTCTTCCTTCTCTCCTCTGCTGCCACCCGCATTGCTGCATGGATGGACCAGTGGAAGCAAGGCGTGTTGGATGATGCTGGCTGGCTGATGTCCTTCCCTTGGTGTGTGTGTGTGTGTGTTGCGCTACTGCTTGCTCTTGTTCCCCCCTGTTTGTGTTTGTTGTGTCTGTTGTGCGTTGCTGCTTCTCTGTGCTTGTGTGTGTGTGTTCACCACAACCACGTCGTGTGCGCCCATCACCATCGTCTGTTCTCACGCACCTCCCCATCTCTCCCTTTCTTCTTCTGCTCCCTTCCCTCTTCCCTCTTTGTCATCCCCACACGCACATGCACACACACACATGGACGCTTGTGCAGGGGAAGTGCAGGCTGTGTGTTGGACCCCATGGCAAGGCACGCACAACCAAGCAAGGACACACGAGCAAGCAAGGACACAGGACAAGCAAGCAAGACGTGGGGCTGCCATAGACCACGCACCTCGTTGGAGAAGGAGGGGAGCGTGAGCGGGTGGCGTTGCATTGTGTTGTGTTGTGTTGTTGTGTCGTGTTGTTGTTGACAGCGTGCACGTCTCTCTCCTTGTATCCCTCTGCCTTCCTCCCTCCCTTTCCCTTCTCTCTCTCTCTCTTCTCTCCTACCACAGCATGCACACTGCTGCTGCTGTTGTTATTTTGGCTGATGGTGATGATGGCGGCTGATGGGGGAGTGAAGCGGTGTGGCGTAGCATGGAGCTGTCGCTTGTTGTGTGTGTTGCTTGCAGTTGATATGGGGATGGGGATGCTTTCTCATCTGTTCTTGCCACGCGTGTGTGTGTGTGTGTGTTTGCTTGCTGTCGTGTTGCTGAAGTGAAGTGGAAATATACAATGCAACACGCATGTGCAGCTGTGTGTATCGTGTGTTGCTGCTGCTGGTGGATGGTTGTGGATGGTTGCAGTGAACACAGTGTGTGTTGTTGTGATGTGACTTGGGTTAGTGGCGAGCTGGTCGTGCGGCTGTGGAGTGGGTGTTGCATGAAGGTGAGGACAGCAGCAGCTGTGAACGTGGGGAGTGGGGGCAAGGATGAAGCGAGTGATGATTGCAGCGACTGGTGATGGTGGATGTGAACAGGGCTGACGTTGAAGAAGGCGGCAGTGTGGGCTTGATGGGTTTATGATGTGTTGTAACACATGCAGCATGAAACAGGAACGAGGCAGGAAGGGAAGGGAAGGGGAAGGGAAGGAGTGGCGGCACAAAGTAGTAAACAAGGACAAGGGAAGGTATGCAAACACATGGAAACAACAGCAGCAGTGGCAAGAATTGAAACAAGACAGGGGTGGTGGTGGAACGCAGGTGAAATAGACAAACAAGGCTTGTGGTGACAAGGTGGTGAAAGAAGGGGAAGAAGGGAAGCACAAATACACACAGTGGGTTGTGTTGTGGTGCTGTGTCGTGTGAAGTAAAGTGAAGGACGAGTGATGTTGTGTGGAGGGGTGCTGTGTCGTGTGAAGTAAAGTGAAGGACGAGTGATGTTGTGTGGAGGGGTGCTGTGTGGTGGTGAGTGGATGGAAGAGAGGAAGAGACCAGGGTGAAGCATGTGGCAACAAGTGCAAAGCAACAATGCAACACATGGAATGTGGAAAGGCAAAGGGAAGAGAGAAGGAAGCAAGTGTGAGTGAAGGGAGAGACAAAGGGACAAAGCGGCACATGCATGGTTGTGGATGTTGTGTTTTGGGTTGTGTTGTGATTGTGGCGGTGAAGCAAAGGAAGCAGGAGCAAGCATGCACGAAGAGAGAAGGTAAAGCGGGAAGAGGAGGAGGCGATTGCAGCGAGCTTCTTACGCACCTGAAATCCTGAACATATCGCTGCTGGAGGCGAGAGGGGAAGCGCAGGTGATGTTGGAGAGTAAATCCAAGAAGCGAGGCGATGTTGCTGAGTGAAGTGGAGTGGAGTGGAGTGAAGTGGCGAGGGAGTGACAGAGCAGTGTGAGTGATGGTGTAGATTGATAAAGGGTCGATCGCAGGTGCGTGCAGGCATGGTGGGTGATGCAATGACACAGTGACAAGTGAGTGGAGGAGTGTTGTGAAGTGAACAAGGTGGAAGCAAGGAAAGTTGTGGGTACTTGCAAGCAACACGCACAGAGCAAGCAAGCGTACGCACGAGGTGTCTGCAGCAAGTAGACGGATGTAGTGGAGTGAATCCAATGGGAGTAGGAGACGTTGTGAGTGCATGCAGACGGATGTAGTGGAGTGAATCCAATGGAAGCAGGAGAAGTTGTGAGTGCCTGCGAGTGAGTAGACGGATGGAATGGAGTGAATCCAATGCAAGCAGGAGATGTTGTGAGTGCTTGCAAGTAACACAACAGTGAGTAGAGGTATCATTGTGGATTGAATCCAATGCAAGTAGGAGAAGTTGTGAGTGCTTGCGAGTAACACAGCAGGGAGTAGACGGATGTGCTGGAGTGAATCTAATGCAAGTAGGAGAAACTGTGAGGGCTTGCGAGCAACACAGCAGCACTGCGCAATTGCATGCAAGTGTGTTTGCCTGTGAGCAGAGGATCGTTTTGCAGTGAATCCAATTCATGTAAGAGAAGCTACCAATGCTTGCCAGCAACACAACAACACTGCGCAATCGCATGCAAGTGTATTTGCAGTGAGCAGAGGGATGCTACTCATCCATTCCACTTTAATCAGAAACACGTTCCCGTGCCTGCAGGCAACATCTACACACAAACGCATGCATACACACGTGTACACGCGTCCCTTGCGCTGCTCCTCGTCGTTCTCTGCCTGCTTGCTCGTCTCTTGTGCAATCACATGGAAACGAATCCATCCTTGCTGCTCTACTCCGCAGTTCCTCTTCTTGTTTCAGCGCAGCGTGCCTGCAGGCAAGTAGAAGTGCGCACAGCGCGGTGTGCTCGCGCGCACGTGTGCCTGCAAGCCAGCCACGTGGTCTTGTGCCTGTTGCTGCAGCTCATGGCATGGTGCAGTGACGTTTGCTCGCTTGCTCACTTGATCATCGGAGTAGGGAGACTGGAGCGGTGAAGTCAAAAAAGGGTGCAGAAGAAAGGTGCAATCATGTGAAGAAAAAAAAGCCAAAAACTGTGATGAGTAGTGTCTGAACGCTGCGTCCTGATGCACCAGCTGTGCAGCATGCAGGTGGAGCGCAAGCGAAAATTGCATGCATGCAAGCAGTGGTTGGTCACGGGCCAGGGGATTTTGGGGTGTGAGCAGTGTGAAGAAGCTTGATGCAGTGAAGCTGTTCACACTCGCTAGATCCAGTCACAAATCTAGATCTAGCAGAATCACTGAATCTAGCTTGCGGTGCCTGCAGGCAAAGTACACTAGGACAAAGCAGCAGTTCAAACAGCTGCCGCTCGATGGATTGGCATACATGAGGGGAAGGATGCAAATGAGCAAGACAAAAAAGAAAAAGAGAAGGCAAAGGTATAGAGCCGCTGAGTAGAGGCGCAAGCAAGAGAGCAAGGCGAATGTCGCTGAGCAGGATTGCTTGCGGGCACGAAAAGCCGCGTCTGCGCCCTTGCAGCTACAACTTCTCTTTCTTCTTGGGTCTTTGTTCTGCTGTGTTCTGAGCGACCTCTCTCTTCATGTGTGTGTGTGATGTGTGTGTGTGAGTGCAGGCAAAGCGAAGCGACACTCTTGAGTGTGTTGTGAGCAATGCTTGCACGAGCACACATGCGTGCACAGCACATGCAATGAGAACAGCACGGGCGTGTGTTTGTGTGTGTGGATGCTTATGTGGGTGATGCGTGAGCATTGTGTGTGGGTGTGATGAGGCGCATGTGGGGAGGCGAGCAAGCGATTGCTTGTGTCTCTGTGTGTGTTCTTGTGATCACTCGCATGAGCAAACGCATCTCTACTACACAGAAGCAAAAGCAACACACGACATATGCGCTTGTGGCGAGCAACGACTGTGTTTGCGGAAAGAGGGCGAGCTGATTGTTCAGCTTCCTCTGAGTGTGACAGCGTGAAGCGCTGGTCATTCCTCTCATACGAACACGCATTTGTTGGCTCTTGATTGTTCTTCTCTCCTCACATTCGCATTTCATGTGTGATATGTGACGCAGCGAGA